GAATGAATTTGAGAGTGTTCTTCTCAACTTTGGGGGATAATTTGAGAAGGATAGGTATTAGTTATCCTTTATATTTTTGGTGGAATTCCCTTGTGAAGCTGTCCAGTCCTGGACTTTTGTTTGCTGGGAGGTTTTGATTTGATTTGATTTTGTTTTTTTTATTACAAACTCATTTTTATCTAATAATGATTGGTCTGTTCAAGTGGTCTATTTCTTCTTAATTAGATTTTGGCAGGTTGTATGTTTCTAAAAATTAATACAGAACCCCATGACTGCCAAGAGCACCAAATTTCAATACCAAATATTCTTATCATTTTTCTGGCACAAGAGAAGCGAAGGCCCCACAGCTTAAAGGCCTATGGGTCTTTGATGTTGTAAAGATCTGATGGGATTAGGCTGGAGAGTGGAATGTTATCTCATCATTCTTATTACAAAAGGTATTTTCTTGATACTCTATTCTACTTCTTTACCTGATGCCAATGGAATGCTCTTATGATGTCATTAGATGTGCTTTAAGACTTAAAAATAAATGCAACAAAGTAAAAGGAAAATAAAGAAAATGGGGAACCCACTTTCAGAAGACATGTGACGAAATACTTTATAATTCTGCTTTTCTTTCATAAGAACACATTTTAAAAATGATTTTCTAAATAAAAGTAACCCAATACTTCAGTTCAGTTCAGTCACTCAGTGATGTCTGTCTCTTTGTGACCCCATGGACTGCAGTACGCTAGGCCTCCCTGCCCATCAAGAACTCTCAGAGTTTACTCAAACTCACACGCATTGAGTCAGTGATGTCATCTAACCATCTCATCCTCCGTCGTCCCCTTCTCCTCCTGCCTTCAGTCTTTCACATCATCAGGGTATTTTCTAATGAGTCAGATCTTCACATCAGGTGCCCAAAAGATTGGAGTTTCAGCTTCAGCATTAGTCTTTCCTGTGGATATTCAGGACTGATTTCGTTTAGGATGGACTGGTTGGATCTCCTTGTAGTCCAAGGGACTCTCAAGAGTCTTCTCCAACACCACAGTTCAAAAGTATCAATTCTTTGGCACTCAGCCTTCTTTATAGTCCAACTCTCATATCCATATATGACTACTGGAAAAACCATAGCTTTGACTGGATGGACCTTTGTTGGCAAAGTAATGTCTCTGCTTTTTAATATGCTATCTAGGTTGGTCACAACTTTTCTTCCAAGTAGCAAGGGCCTTTTAATTTCATGACTGCAGTCACCATCTGCAGTGATTTAGGAGCCCAAAAAAATAAAGTCTGTCACTGTTTCCATTGTTTCCCCATTTATTCACCATGAAGTGATGGGGCCGGATGCCATGATCTTAGTTTTCTGAATGTTGAATTTTAAGCCAACTTTTTCACCATCCTCTTTCACTTTTATCAAGAGCATCTTTAGTTCTTTTTCACTTTCTGCAATAGGTGTGGTGTCATCTGCATAACTGAGGTTATTGATATTTCTCCCAGCAATCTTGATTCCAGCTTGTGCTTCATCCAGTCCAGCATTTCTCATGATGTACTCTGCATATAAGTTAAATAAGCAGGGTGACAATATACAGCCTTGACATACTCCTTTCCCAATTTGGAACCAGTCTGTTGTTCCATGTCCAGTTCTAACTGTTGCTTCTTAACTTGCATATAGATTTCTCAGGAGGCAGGTCAAACTACCGCACATTGTACTCATCTCACACACTAGCAAAGTAATGCTCAAAATTCTCCATGCCAGGATCCAATAGTAAGTGAACCATGAACTTCCAGATGTTCAAGCTGGATTGAGAAAAGGCAGAGGAACCAGAGATCAAATTGCCAGCATCCGTTGGATCATCGAAAAAGTGAGAGTTCCAGACAAACATCTACTTCTGCTTTATTAACTATGCCAAACCCAATACTTAATTGTCTATAAAAGTACCACTGAGAAAGAACAAGACAAAAAAGAAAAACATGGGAGCAGATGTCTGGGTGGTGCCTCCTCTTCCTGGGTTGTTGATAAGGCTGACACTCACAGAACATGTTTAGTCTTTAAACTACTTTTAGAGTGCTCAGTTGAAATCTGAGCCATGGTGCACTGACTGAAACTTCTAAATTCTGAATAAAATCCTTCAAAATTTGTTCTTTAGATTGACATCTTAGATTAATCCAATTTAAATGTATGAACAATATTTACATCTCTTTATTGGGACAAACTTCAGTTCAGTCCAGTCACTTAGTCATGTCTGACTCTTTGCAACCCCATGGACTACAGCATGCCATGCTTCTCTGTACATCAGCAACTCCTGGAGCTTGCCCAAACTCATGTCCATTGAGTTGATAATGCCATCCAACCATCTTCTTCTCTTTGGCCCCCTTCTCTCCTGCCCTCAACCTATTCAGCATCAAGGTCCTTTTTCAGAGAGTCAGCTCTTTGCATTAGGTGGCCAAAGTATTGGAGATTCAGCTTCAGCATCAGTCCTTCCAATGAATACTGAGGACAGATTTCCTTTAGGATTAACTGGTTTGATCTCCTTGCAGTCCAAGGGACTCTCAAGAGTCTTCTCCAACACCACAGTTCAAAAGTATCAATTCTTCAGTGCCCAGCCATCTTTATGGTTCAGCTCTCATATCCATACATGACTACAGGAAAAACTATAGCTGTGACTATGTGGAACTTTGTTGGTAAAGTCAAGTCTCTGCTTTTTAATATTCTGCCTAGGTTTGTCAGAGCTTTTTTTCCAAGTAGCAAGCATCTTTTAATTTCATGGCAGCAGTCAACATGTGCAATGATTTTGGAGCCCAAGAAAATAAGATTTCCATGGTTTACTCATCTATTTGCCATGAATTGATGGGACCAGATGCCATGATTTAGCTTTCTGAATGTCTAGTTTTAAGCCAGCTTTTTCACTCTCCTCTTTCACTTTCATCAAGAGGCTTTTTAGTTCTTCTTCACTTTCTGCCCTAAAGATAGTGTCATCTGCATAGCTGAGGTTATTGATATTTCCCCCAGCAATCTGGATTCCAGGTTATGCTTCATTCAGTTGGGCCTTTCACATGATATACTCTGCATCTAAGCTAAATAAGCAAGATGACTATATACAGCCTTGACATACTCTTTCCCAATTTGGACCAGTCTGTTGTTCCATGTCCAGGTCTAACTGTTGCTTTTTGACTGAGAAAAAGAAATGGAAAAAGGCAAAAATGGTTATCTGAGGAGTCCTTACAAATAGCTTAGAAAAGAAGAGAAGCAAAAGGGAAAGGAGAAAAGGAAAGCTATATCTATTTGAATGCAGTTTCAAAGAATATCAAGGAGTGATAAGAAAGCCTTTCTAAGTGATCAATGCAAAGAAATAGAAGAAAACCATAGAGTGGGAAAAACTAGGGATCTCTTCAAGAAAATTAGAAATACCAAGGGAACATTTTATGCAAAGATGGGCAAAAGGATAGAAAATGTATGGACCTAACAGAAGCAGAAGAAACTAAGAAGAGGTGACAAGAATACACAGAACTACACAAAAAAGATCTTAATGATCCAGATAACCACAATGTGTGATCACTCACCTAGAATCAGACATCCTGGAGTGAGAAGTCAAGTGGGCCTTAGGCAGCACCACAATGAACAAAGCTGGTGGAGGTGATGGAATTCCAGTTGAGCTATTTCAAATCCTAAATGATGATTCTGTGAAAGTGCTGCACTCAATATGCCAGCAAATTTGGAAACTTGGCAGTGGCCACAGGGCTGGAAAAGGTCAGTTTTCATTCCAATCCCTAACAAAGGCAATGCCAAAGAATGTTCAAATTACCCCACAATTGCACTCATCTCACACTCTAGCACAGTAATGCTCAAAATTCTCCAAGCTAGGCTTCAACAGGACATGAACTAACTTCCCAATGTTCAAACTGGATTTAGAAAAGGCAGAGGAAGGAGCGTTCAAATTGCCAACATCTGTTGCATCATCAAAAAAGCAAGGGAATTCCAGAAAAAAACATCTACTTCTGCTTCCTTGACTATGCTAAATCCTTTGACTGTGTGGATCACAACAAACTGTGGAATATTCTTCAATAGATGGGAATACCCAACCACCTTACCTGCCTCCTGATAAATCTGTATGCAGGTCAAAAAGCAACAGTTAGACAGGACATGGAACAACAGACTGGTTCCAATTTGGGATAGAGTCAGACTAAAGAGATGCCAATGAAAAACAGAGACAGTATCTATAAAGGCTGTCGGGTTGAATGAAATTGTAGCCTTTAAAAAGTCAGCAAAGGTTTAAATCATCTAAATAAAGACAAGAATACAACCAAATTATTCCAGTAAATTTTATCAGAAGTTTAATCTTTCTTTCAATAGAATTAAGATAAAACTTAGAAGAACACAATTATAAACTTGTGCATTTATAGAAAATACTTTAACCCTATGGTTTGATTTGCTGCTGAAATTGTATTAATTGCAACCAAGGTAGAATTAAAACTTAGTGAAGCTCTCATTTACTTGAATAAGAAGTAAATAAAAAAAAGAGTCTTTGCCTAAACATGTATGCATAGAGAGAGAATAAAAATGTACACATTTAATATATCCACTTCAGATATATCGATAATCATTTAGATTGTTTCTATATGCTGTAACACCAGTTAATGCAGCATATCATTACTTGTCAAATTCTGGTAACCTTCTACTATAACTAGATAGGCTGATATAATTTCTGTAAAAATTCGTGTTTTAACTTTTTTCTATTGGCTATTATTATTGGAAGTAGTTGTTCATCTAGACTTCCTCATAGAGCATAATACATATGACAGATCTAAACAGACGCATCTAAATATTTAAATTATATTTTAAAATTTAAATGTAAAAGATTATTTTTAAGAGAACCTGTTGCTATACTTGGAAGGAATTGTAAGATATTTCTCATCCTTTTTGGAGTTAACTACATTAATTGTTTGTAGTGGATAAACAATGCCAAGTGGAATGATGTTAATTAATTTAATAAGTATTTTTTTTTCATTTTCTTCTATTTCAGTTGATTTATCTTTAGTGAATAAGGATGAAGAAGCTATCTATTTCCTGGGAAATTCTCTTGGCCTTCAACCAAAAATGGTTAAAACATACCTGGAAGAGGAACTAGATAAATGGGCCAAAATGTAAGTATTATTTCAAAAGCTAACAATCAACATCTCACACAAGAATTTTAAAAATCAGTCTAGACTGTCTAATATTTGAAAAGGTGTAAAGTAGAATCTTAGAATATTAGAGCAAAGAGGAACCAGAGGGATTGTGTTCAATGAGTGATAAAATATTCTCATTTAAAAAAAAATATTCTCATTTTATGGATGAAATAACTGAGGATCAGTAAATAAGGTCATATGACAAGTTAGTGGTAGAATCAATAGTAAAGCTTTTAAAATATTTTAAAAATTAAGCTCCTCCTCTGAATTGGCACATCTATGTCATAAGCAATTATTTTATTTTTTTAATTACTAACAGGGAGTTAATATTTAGGATTCAGTTTAGTGTTTTCATGATTAGTTCTTGGCTAAACTCTAGCACACCAATTTTTATAAATAAGAAAATAAAAATTGTTGAGGGGGCACAAGAGGTTGAGTGGAATAGAAAGTACTTCCCTCACCAAACTGAACTCGATTATTGAGAAGATGCGTATCCCTGCTGGCTCAGACAGTAAAGAATCATGCCTCTACCTGCAGTGCAGGAGACCTAGTTCAATTCCTGGGTTGGGAAGATTCCCTGGAGAAGGGCATGGCAACTCACTCCAGTATTCCTGCCTGGGGAATCCCATGACCAGAGGAGCCTCGCAGGCTACAGTCCATGGGGTCGCAAAGGAGTCAGACACGATTAAGCAGCTAATCCTTTCACTGAGTAGATGCTCCCCTGGGGCTTGGGGCTTAGCTTAGCAGGTTCACTCTAACTGTGTAGGAATCTTACATCAGGATTCACGTTTTTCTCCATTTTTCTGTTCTACTTTTACACTTCTGCTTATGAAACCGTCCAAACTCTCTACTTACCTCAATTCTCACCTCTTAAATATCAACTTTCTCAACCACTCATTACTCCTTGCTGAATATCTAGTGCATTAGTAATCACTGCTCTACAATAGGCAGTTTAGAGGTATCTACTTACATTAGTTTCATATTTTTAGCTATACTATAAATTCCTTAAGGAAAATAACTTAATCTTATGTACTTCTTATCCTTCCCCAGTAATTACTGACAGCTAAAACTGGAATTTTAAAAAAATATCTTAACTATTTAAATATTTATATTATTTGAATATTAAAAATAGTATACATATTTAAAAATATTTTTGATTCTTAGAATCTGAAAAATAGATGAGGGGGAAGCTAAACTTAAAGCAAAAGGGAAAAAAAGAAATTCAGAAATATGAAACCATACAAGGTAAGAATTCTGAGCAAGATATTTAGTTCTTATAGAAACACAGAATGACTTTTCCAGCTTTCTATATTCTTCAGGCCAGTGGTCTTTTCTATTGGGAACAAAACCTCTTTAAAGTTAAGTTTAAACTGACTGTGCCAATGATTACTACCATGGCTATTAGATAACACTGCAGAGTTCTTAATTTTAGTGGTTAAGAATGTAAGTTCACAACTCAGTGCAAGAATAATAGAGTTTTACACAATTTAGTAGGCTTGTTATAATTTTATTTGCATAACATTTATGCATATTCTGAAAAGTAAATATCACTACATTTGGAAGCATTCTGCACCTGAAGGCTTTGGTATTTTAAAATATGAGGGTCATAGTTAATAAAAATGGTTAATATTCATTTTTGGCCTAAATGTAAAATATAGCAGATAATTAGATTGAACTTGAAATTTGGAGAGTGTCCTTGCCTCTTAGATAGTTGTTCAGCAAACTGTGCATTTTTATCCTTCATGTATATTCTAAAATATGCCTCTCTGCTTTCCTATTTGTATCCGTTCAATTATCATACTTTATTAAAAGACTGGTTGATTATTCTTGAAACTTTTACTCCAGTTATGTTCAGAGAGAGTGCCTCTCTGTCATAATATCCTCCTATTGTTGCTACCCTTCAATTTTATATTTTACATTGTTATAACAGAAAATTACATACTCTTAACCTCCCCTACCCATTTTTCATCAGACAGATGATTTAGCAAGGAAGTATGTTTTAATGCTTCAAGCAATGTAAACTGAATTTTTAAAAGACTTCTTCTGAGTAAAAGATTAGATAACTAGTTGACTTTATTTAGTCTTTTTGTTATAAACTGTGGTGTCCCAGTCAACATCATGGTGCTGCCAGCCCAGCGATATCAGTAGTATTTGAGGTTCATGAACATGGTCTTGTTTCCTTCCATCCCACCCCCAATCTTTAATCTCAAATGGGCTGTTCATTCATTTTTTTGCTCCTAAATATTTAGCTTAAAACTCTACTCTAGCCTTTTCAGCTAAGGTTGTGTTGGAAGGAAAACTTTTCCTCTATTAACTTTCCTTCTAGTGGTTGGGGGCCTGAGGATTAACTGACAACAGATAGATTAGCTTTCTTTACTAGCATGTGAGACGAGTGCAATTGTGTGGTAGTTTGAGCATTCTTTGGCATTACCTTTCTTTGGGATTGGAATGAAAACTGACCTTTTCCAGTCCTGTGGCCACTGCTGAGTTTTGCAAATTTGCTGACATATTGAGTGAAGCACTTTCACAGCATCATCTTTTAGAATTTGAAATAGCTCAACTGGAATTCCATTGCCTCCACTAGTTTTGTTCGTAGTGATGCTTCCTAAGGCCCACATGACTTCACATTCCAGGATGTCCGGTTTTAGGTAAGTGTGAGTGAGCACACCTTCATGGTTATATGGGTCATGAAGATTCTTTTTGTACAGTTCTTCTGTGTATTCTTGCCAACTCTTCTTAGTATCTTCTGCTTCTGTTAGGTCCATACCACTTCTGTCCTTTATTGAATCATCTTTTCATGAAATTTTCCCTTGGTATCTCTCATTTTCTTGAAGAGATCTCTAGTCTTTCCCATTCGATTGTTATCCTCTATTTCTTTGCATTGATCTCTGAGGAAGGCTTTCTTATCTCTCCTGGCTATTCTTTGGAACTCTGCATTCAAACGGGTATATCTTTCCTTTTCTCCTTTGCTTTTCGCTTCTCTTCTTTTCACAGCTATTTGTAAGGCCTCCTCAGACAACCATTTTGCTTTTTTGCATTTCTTTTTCTTGGGGATGGTCTTGCTCCCTGTCTCTTGTACAATGTCATGAAGCTCCTTCCATAGTTCATCAGGCACTCTGTCTATCAGATCTAGTCCCTTAAGTCTATTTCTCACTTCCACTGAGAGTCCCTTGGACTGCAAGGAGATCCAACCAGTCCATCCTGAAGGAGATCAGTCCTGGGTATTCATTGGAAGGACTGATGTTGAAGCTGAAACTCCAATACTTTGGCCACCTAATGTGGAGAGCTGACTCATTGAAAAAGACCCTGATTCTGGGAAAGATTGAGAGCTGGAGGAGAAGGGGATGACAGAGGATGAGATGGTTGGATGGCATCACCAACACAATGGACATGAGTTTGGGTGGACTCTGGGAGTTGATGATGGACAGCGAGGCCTAGCATGCTGCGGTTCATGGGGTTGCAAAGAGTCAGACACGACTGAGCGACTCAACTGAACTGAACTGAGACTAGCTTTCTAGGTGGTACTAGTGGTAAAGAATCTGCCTGCCAATGCAGGAGACACAAGAGACACAAGATGCATGTTCAACCCCTGGGTCAGGAAGATCCCTGGAGTAGAAAATGATAACCAACTCCAGTATTCTTGCCTGGAGAATCCCACGGAGAGAAGAGCCTGGGGGCTCTACAGTCCATGGGGTCACAAAGAGTTGGACATCATGGAACATGTGCACACACACACATACACAGATTAGCAGGAGAAAACTTTATTTTACATGGGTACAGAAACACACTACAGTGATTCACTTATCAGCCAGAGTAAGGGATTAAAACAACTTTAACAAAAAGTGGGGAGCTTCAGTAGGGCTTCAGTAGAAAGTATGGTCAGCTCTAATGGGCTTTTCCATCTTGATAATAACCAGCAGAATCTTTCCTGCTTGAGAGCTCCCCAAGAGAAAGATTGAAGGAAAGTATATGTGCAACTCCTAGTACTAAGGGCCATTCTTCTCTGATGGTGGGTCAGTGGTGGTGGTGGTATTTTCAGGAGGCTTTCCTTAAGTCTGGACAATGTTTCTTTCTTAGGTCAAACATGCTTTTAAAGTAATCTTCCTGGCACTCTGGTGGTCTATTGTTTCCTTCCCTTCCCTTTCTAACTATTGCCTTTGTTTTAGTACTAAATTTTCCCTGCATATGTTTGGTTTGCCTCTGGATCCGGAGTGTCTCATTATTGTAATGAGTATCATCTGATCATCTGTTCTTCTTCATCTCCTCCAATCCTACTTCTGCCCTACTTCTCAGCAGATACCCAAACCACGACAGTGCCCCACCACATTCTTGACCAGTGAGATTTTGAGAACTGAGTCAAAGAGAGCTACACAGTCATTAAATAATGTACCTTAAAATTAGTTGCTTAACAGAAGAAAATAATATTAAAATTTTATAATCTTACCAGTAACTGAGAAATTTGAGTGTTCTAAGTGAAATATTGCTCTGGGATATTGATATCAAATCTCTGGGCATCCATGACCTATAACATAGGAAATGCCATTTGGCTTATGTTTTTCATCTTCTAGGTCATCATCTTTCATGGGCTATTGTAGGCATACTACCTATTTATCTACAAAATAAACCATCACTGGTCATAATGCAGCTTAATCTTATAATTCATGTGATGCCATATTTGATTACTTTACACTAAAGAAAAGTCAAGAATACAGGCACACTTAGAAATATTTTAGGACTCAATTGATTTCTTCAAAAACTCAAGTGATTCAAGGCAAGACTATGAGAATAAAATGCTTACCTCTGTATTTTTTAAATGCCTATTAGTATTTTCCAGATTCATTTTCAACTGTATATGATTTCTAAAGTAGGTTAATAACACTTTACTTGGAGAATATATTATTTGTTTGATGAAATGATAATATTTAGATTATTTTAATTTTCTGAAATGGAAAATTTTAGTGTAATTTCACTTTGATATATAATAACTAGCTATCAGCAAGAAGATATAACAATAAGAAACAACAATATCATATGCTTGTTCATTATGGGTCTGCTAAGATGGATAGGCAATAAACTTAATTTGGGGGAACATTTAAAATTAAATATTTACTAATGATCCAGATCAATTAAAGGAGAATAACATGAGGTAGTAATCATAGTGGTAAAATTCAGCTATGTCAGTCCTAAAGAGGACATTGTAAGTTGAAAGATGTATGCTGTGTCCCTAGGTAGTAATCACTGTATTATTGGTCTACTGGGTTATCCCATTTGCTGGATAAATAAATGACTTTCTTTTTTATAGGAGCAAAAAGCTGCCACAGTTGTGTCTTTATTGGGATTCTTATAAAAACTGAGACATTTTAGGTAGAATTACCTAAAAAGAAAAATATCACACTGAATTACACAGTAGGAACAAACTGCCTGGTTTGCAGTGACTTAGCTTACATGGTAATATGTGTGCAGAAAGGGTGCTGGTGAAGCACATGGGAGACATGTGCTTCTGCAGACCTGCAGTCTCATTCAGTTTAAGGGTTTCTTTCTTTAAAAAATATAAAGGTGTATTGTAGAGGAGGAAAGACTTGCCCCCTACTCTCATAGGTCTTCGTCTCCTCTCTTGTGACCTGAGTCAACCTTCCCTTGTTGATGAAACTTCTGAAGAGGGAATTTATGACAATTGATTTCTTTTGGAGGATCTGTCTTCAGGCAGATAAGGGGAGTTCAGAGATATTCTCCCCTTGCATTTGCTCTTTTTCAGGTGCCTCCAGCACAAAATAACTCTTATGTCCAAGCGGCAAATGTTAGTGTGGCATATTCTGCCTCCAGTATGTATAAGAAAGTACATGGTGTGACATGTTACAGAGCTTTTCCTGACATCTCTGTTGGCTAATCATCAACTGGGTCACAGAAAAAAGTTGTGATATCATTAAGGGAGACTCTGTAAAATCTTAAATTTATTTGCTTACTGGGGGGAGCTTTTAAGTGCAGGGGCACTTTTCATTCTGTAGGATGGTTAAAGCACAGTCCTATTTCAAAGAGGATCCACATTTCTATTAACTTCCTAATTAGATTTTATATCCTGAAATCTAATTTCATGAGCAAATACTGCTCTGCAGACATCTCAGCCAACTCACAGCAATGACTGATGCAATGGTAGTGAGTGAACTCTTTCCTATGCTCTCTTTTCCTTCACAGCATTAGTAAAAGATTGCAACTATACGGCAACTCCTTCTAAGCAGTTTAGAATGAAAACAACATAAGCTTTCTCTTAAATTGAATATGTATGTTTATAACTGCACTGTGATCCACATCAGCTCTTTCTAATGAAAGGTCACTTTGAGTTTATTTGGGTAACACTTCCTAAATACCCTAGGCTAGTAGACTGGCAAAATGAAGAAGCTGATTCTGTGTGTGACATCTTAAAGGAAGGAAGATGCCAAAAGCATTGCAGGAAGAAACGGATCCTTAAAGATTATTACCATGGTGTCTACCAGAGTGAGAAGTAGGTGGCATAATATTCTGAGATATAAATTCTCTGAGGCAGAACATAGAATTTTACTGCCTAAATGCAATAAGATGTATTGTGCTATCAGCAAGGCCATGGAGCTCTGTGTGATTAAAATAAAAAAAGGATCCAAGTATCTGCCTTTAACTACTATTTAATGATAAAGATTTTTGTCTTTAGCATTTATATTGGAAGTCAAGAAAGAGGCAAGCTGCAGGCTATCTAACAATAATATGAATAATGCTGCTGCTGCTGCTGCTAAGTCGCTTCAGTCGTGTCGGACTCTGTGTGACCCCATAGATGGGCAGCCCACCAAGACACTCACTAACAATTGTCCTTCTCTTCCTCCTTAGTTCTTACAGTCTGTTTATTCTCAAAGTCTACTTCCTTAATCTCACTTTACATGGTAACTGAAGGATTAGTTTAAAAACTGGTTTCCACCACATACTGATGTGAAGTGTTAGTCGCTCAGTCGTGTCTGACTCCTTGCAACTCCAGGGACTGTAGCCCGGTGCCAGGCTCCTCTGTCCATGGAATTCTCCAGCCATACTGTAGTTGTGCCATTTCCATCTCCAAGGGATTTTCCCAACCCAGGGATCAAGCTCAGGTCTCCTGGGTCTCCCGCATTGCTGGCAGATATCATCTGAGCTACCAGGGAAGCACTCACATGCTGATGAAGTGAGTTTTAACACTAGATTTGCATTAGGAAAGACGACTCAAAAAAAGGGTACCATGTACCAAGATCCTTCACATGGTATCTTATTTAGTTTTCATAGAAATCCTTTAAGGTACATATTATAACCCATTTACTTTTATAAAAGTGGGAAATTAGGTACTATAAGCCTCTAATAAATGTAGCCTCCTATGTAGTACTGACCTGGAAACTGGCTCATCCCAGGTGATGGAGCCAATTGTTAAACATTCAGGATTTTCATTGATGGGGGTATTTACACCACAGAAATCAGCAAGGGCTCCTCCTTTCCAGTTTTCCCATTGCTCTATAGTGGAGAAAAAATCCTTTGGCCTTCTGAGGTTTTAACTGATAGCCTTGTAATAAAAGAGAGGTTATCAAGATAAAAAAAGAATTTTGCTTATTAACACAATTTATTAACATGAATACCTAAAGGATACATAGGGAATATTCAGGGGAAAATGAATAACTCCTGAAGGTAGCTTAGAATTCAAGCTTAAATCTCATTTAATAGCCAAAGAGGAAGAAAGATGCAGGCCTCTTAGGGGATAGTTAAGGACTTCTATGAAGGATGGATGGATCCCTGGGGAATAGATAGGAGGAACAGTCTGAAGTTTATCTGGGAGGTGGTGTTGACTTGTAGTCTCTCCTTGCTAAGGGGCTTCCCAGGTAGCTCAGATGGTAATGTGTCTGCCTGCAGTGCAGGAGACCTGGGTTTGATCCTGGGTTGGGGAGATTCCCTGGAGAAGGAAATGGCAACCCACCCAGGTATTCTTACCTGACAAACTCCAGGGACAGAGGAGCCTGGTGGGCTGCAGTGGTCACAACTGAGCAACTACCAGGCACACACTCTGCTAAGAGTCAATTCTTCTCTAGCTGATGAAACTCCTGGAAAGATTTATGATAACTGAGTTTCTTTGGACGGATCTGTCTTTAGGCAGATAGCGAAGTTCAGAGAAAGCCCCTTCTTGGATGTTCTATTTCTTCAAGTGCCTACAGCGCAATATGATGAATGGGCCACAGTGATGTTTTAGGATGGCATCTTCTACTACCCTTCACCTGAGAGAAGGTTTTTCAGCTCACCGCTACCAGCTTATTTGACTCCAGAATATGTATTCATCACAGTTAACACTATACACAGAGCACATACTTATTCCTTTCTTCCAAGTTTACATAGTCTTTGGATCCCAAAAGAATTAAGAACAGTCTATTCCAGAGCTTTCTAACATACAAGTTTGTAACAGCACACAAAGTCATCTCTTCTTGATTTATTCTCCTATTTTTCAAATGTATTTGCCTTCCTCATTTGATAGAAATGACTTGAGAGTTGACATTTTCTTATGTATTTAGCATTGTTTCCATTATGCCTACTGAGATACTTACTAGAATAACAATAACAATAACAAAATTGAACTAGAATGTGATAGATGAAATTGCTAGAAAATATGGGATTCCCAGGTGGCTCAGTGTGGTAAAGAATTCACCTGCCAATTCAGGGAACACAGGAGTGATCCCTGGGTTGGGAAGATCCCCTGTAGGAGAAAATGGCAATTCATTCCAGTATTCTTGCCGGGATAATCCCATGGATAGAGGAGCCTGGATGGCTATTGTCCGTCGAGTCACAAAGAATCAGACAGGACTGAGAACATGATTAGATTATTGCCAAGTTTCACTACTAACTTAAAATGTCATCATGAGTATAGTCACATTTTATATACTTCTATTTAATTTACAGATTATAATTACATTTTAAAATGTAATTAACAATCATTTTAATATCTAGCCTCAGGTAGTAGTAAAATGCTGTAGTATAGATACAATTAAATGGAATGGTATACAGGTAAGATATTCAAATAGCCTTAGAATTTTCAAAAGAGAAAAATATAATATCTTAGACTCCAAAATAGGGAAAGATAATGAAATATTATATGGTCAACACCCCCTATACTCCCCACCAAAAAGGAAAACAAAGAAAAATTTTCAAATTACAACTTAAAAACCAGAGTTCTCAAATATTACTTTTGGTTTTAAAAAAGCATGCGTTTTATTAAAACATTACAAAGACTCACTTAGAAATGTTCAGTCACTCATGCTGATATTTGAAAACTCACACACACTCACACAGACACACAGAGATACACACTATACACACAGATGCACACCAAAACTAAGATTGTTATATCCCTTTTCAATTTCAGGGGAGCCTATGGTCATGAGGTAGGGAAACGTCCTTGGATTACAGGAGATGAGACTATTTCAGGACTTATGACTGACATTGTGGGTAAGTACAAAGTGAATTTTTTCCAAAAAACTCATAAAGACATAATCATTTGGTTATACACATAAGTTATAAGATAAACATTTTATTGAAGAACATCCTGATTTTGTATTTTAATCTATAATACTAAAGAGTAAACGTGCTTTTAACTGAGACTTGATTGCTAATATGTTGTTTTGTTCTTATATATTCTAAGGCTATTATTTACTCATCAATGAAAAACATCCACACATAATTAAGGAAATTTCATAGAAATCAACTTCAATTAATTTTCTAAGAGTTTATTACATGGTTAAATAAACATTAACCTTCACATGCTAAAGGCCTAGAACACCAATATGCTTAGGCTCATTTCAACTTAATCTGTAGTGATCTTTTAAAATTAGGCTGAGTGCTGTTGAAAATAATATCATTGATGCTGTATTTTCAGTCTATGATGTATTTCCTAAAGTGAATTCTATATACTGTTGGTAAAGCTACTCAGTATAGTTTTAAATGGTAAATGTGTTATCACATTGAAAAAAAATTGTTTAATTGGGTAGATTATGCAGCATTGCTTAAAGTCTTATGTGAAATTTAAGGTATCAAACTATATATATATATGTATGTATGTGTGTATACATATATACATATACACTCACATATCTATCCCATAGTATCTCCTACATAAAGCCACTTCTTTAAGCTCAGGAAATATAACAATCTTCCCTAAAATATACAAATAACCACAGAGAATTAAACAAAGTGAGGAGACAGAGGAATATTTTCCAAACAAAGAATAGCAAAAAACTGCGAAGAACTAAGGGAAGTGTTGATAAGTAATATACTCAATAAAAAATGCAAAGTAATGATTATAAAGATGCTCAATTAATTCAGGAGAATAGGTGAAAACAATGAGGAGCTAAACAAAGAGAAAATATGAAGAAGAACCAAATGGAGCCAAAGGAAACAACTGAAATAAACTAGAAGGAATCAGCAATAGAGTAGATGATACAGAGGAATGTATCAGTGAACTGGAAAACAGAGTAAAAAATTACTCCAGCTAAGCAGAAAAAAAGAATAAAGAATTGAAAAAGAAGGACAGTTAAAGAGATATCTGGGACAATATCAAGTATACTAACATTCACATTATAAGGGTCCCAGAAGGAGAAGAAAGGGGCAGAAAAGTTATTACAAGTGATGATTCCTGAAAACCTCTCTAACCTGCGAAAGGAAACTGACATCTGGGTCCAGGAATCACAGAGGGTCCCAAATAAGATCAGCCCACAGAAGTCCACACCAAAACACATTTGGAATTAAAATGTCAACAAAATAAAGAGAAAAATCTTAAAAAAGCAGCAAGGGAAAAGCAATTCATTACACATAAGAGAACTCCCCAAAAAACAGTAGCTGACTTTACAGCAGAAACTCTGCAGGCCAGAAGGGAGTGGCATGATATATTTAAAGTGGTGAAAATAAAAATGCCGACAACCAAGAATACTCTGCTTGGCATGACTATCATTCAAACTTGAAAGAGAATGAAGGAATTTCACAAATAAGCAAGTGCTAGAAAAATTCAGCACCACTAAATATGCTTTACAGGAAATGTTAATGAGACTTCTGTAGGTGGGAAGAAAAGGCCACAAGTAGAAATACAAAAATTATAAAAGGAAAAATGTCTCTTTTTTAAATGTCCTATACACGGTATTCATTTGTTCTGTAATGATTCACATTTTAAATAGTGCTTTCTGACAATATGCCAGTTGGCTCTTCTTTAATAGGGTAATAAGAATAGCAGTTCACATTCAAAGTGGCAGTATCACCAGACCACATGACAAGGGTAAGCACAGACCCTCTGGGTATATTGCGGGCATGTTGTCTCAGGCAGAGGGTTTCTAAAGGTAGGAAACAGGAGAGACTGGGAGAAAGAACACCCTTGTATTTGCAGAAGTCATTACTCTTTCTAAGCAGTGGTCATATTAACTTTGCTGGTAATCCCCATGTAGGGAGAAGAGGAAGAAAGGAGCACATCTTGCTTTAGATGCTTGGTTGGGATGTTGCCTGCGAGAAGGAAGTTTAGGGACACATATGACAAGAGACTAGCATCCAAATCAATCAGGTGAAGCTTCCTCAATCCTCAGCCACCATTCACACCCTCTGTACTGACAGCAAGACAGGGAAGAAACCTTTAGCTTTCGTTCTGTGCTTAGCAAGGAGAGATTCAAAATTATCATAGTCAAAACTATTTATGTTAATATAGTTTATAAACAGACCACAAATAATTTAGGAACACTATGATTCTAACTTCTTCTTATGCATTTCTGGGACTCATCCCAGCATAAAGACAGTCTTATGCCCCAAACAGACCCCCAAAAATAGATCCATAGGAAATGACTTTGCATTTTCAATTCAGTTCAGTTCAGTTTATTCAGTCGTGTCCAACTCTTTGGGACCCCATGGACTGCAGCACTCCAGGCTTCCCTGTCTATCACCAACTCCCGGAGTTTACTCAAACTCATGTCCATTGAGTCAGTGATGCCATCCAACCATCTCATCCTCTGTTGTCCCCTTCTCCTCTGACCCTCAATCTTTCCCAGCATCAGGGGCTTTTCCAATGAGTCAGTTCTTCGTTTCAGGTGGCCAAAGTATTGGAGTTTCAGCTTCAACATCAGTCCTTCCAATGAATATCCAGGACTAATTTCCTTTCGGATGGACTGGTTGGATCTCCCTGCAGTCCAAGGGACTCTCAAGAGTCTTCTCCAACACCACAGTTCAAAAGCATCAATTCTTCGGTGCTCAGGCTTCTTTAAAGCTGCCTAAAGTTTCTGGCTTCCCAGGAAACCTCAACACAATAGAGAAGCAGATGACTCTAGATGGCTCAGTCTAGGCTGCAGAGCCACCGCCCAAGTTTAAATATTCAGTTGACTATGAATTAGAAGTGATAATACCTGAAAACCTCCCTAACTTGGAAAAAGAAACAGACATCCAGGTCTATATATCAACTGTGTTAAGCATGAATGAGCATGGAACACACTCATGCTTAATATAGGCCAAGCTGCTAGACTTTTAAGGAAAATAAGTTCTTAGTTTAAGAACTATATGAATATGTAACCTGTCCTATTAAAAAAGTTAAAATAAATAAATAAATAAGCACCTAAATAGAAAGGTTGCAAGCAAAAGCTAGCTCTGTTTGCTGCTATTTATTTTTGAGTAATCACTACACTATACATGTTTCTACCTCTTTTACGTTGTTATATTACAGGATCAGAATATCAGTTTCTAGTTTAAAATAAGAGGTTAAGTACAAACTGAAATGCTCCCTTCTGCTCCAAACACAGAAAAATAGAAAAAAAAATTAGATTAACAAACATATAGCAACACTTAAAAATTAAAAAGAAATCTCTATTGGCCAGAAATATAGTATTTGCTGAAGAAAGAAGCACTGGGAAGCTGGACGCACAGTATTTGAGGAGCAGTGCATGGAGCCAGCATGAGTATGTAGCGTCTGAGTGCAGGACTTGCACAAGAAGCCCCAGTGTGAATCTACAGAGCTCTGGATGCTTGGGGCTCAAACCCAAAGTCAGGACATTTTAACTAGGGTGGCTAAAGGTGAAAGCATAGCATCTCCTTCCAAACCAGTCAGGATCCTGGGAGCACAGAGCACTTGATCAGACTGCCAACGTAATCCAGAGGATATGTATACGTACATGTATAGTGTTATGGAGAGAATTCCCACCTGAACAATCCTGGATAGCATTTATAAATGTGTTGCCTAGTTGTCTGATAATGCTTTTAATCTGTGTTCATTTCTTAGAAGTCAATTATATTCATTCAAATGCCTAACATGTAAATCTAAAAAAAAAAACAAAAAAAAACTGAATAATCCTGAACTAATTTGACCTGAGCATTTATGTTTTCCTTAGATGTGGACTGTTTTTCCTTTGCTAGATTTGCTTTCAGAACATAAATTGCATTCTAATTCTATTATTTTGTGATTAATATTTATCATGCTCTAAAGAGGAGTTAGGATGTTAGGCCAGGGAAGTGGTAAGGCAATTATTTCGTGAGATTTATAAAACCCATAAAACTTGCAAAAAGGTTTCCTTTCACCACTTAAATGTTTATAGCCCCACTGCAACTTATTAAACGTGTGTGTGTTTTGTTGCCCAGCAAATATGTATATGTCACAATGATCAATGAAATTTCAAACCAGCCCACCTCTCATTACTGTTAATAAGATTATTTTTAAAAATAAATAAATACTCAGATTACTTAGATTAACAAAATTGAACTTATTAAAAATGTTTTAAACAATATTTATCAGTTCTAGCTTTAGGGATTTTTGTGTGTCTTTGAAATACCACACAAAGGCATATGACATATAAGGGATAAACTTAATTTTGTTTTTTGTGGTTTTGTCCTTGAATGTTGTATTAATTCAGAGAAGGCAATGGCAACCCACTCCAGTACTCTTGCCTGGAAAATCCCATGGACGGAGAAGCCTGGTAGGCTGCAGTTTATGGGGTCACTAAGAGTCGGACATGACTGAGCGACTTCACTTTCACTTTTCACTTTCACGCATTGGAGAAGAAAATGGCAACCCACTCCAGTGTTCTTGCCTGGAGAATCCCAGGGACGGGGGAGCCTGGTGGGCTGCCGTCTATGGGGTCGCAGAGAGTTGGACACAACTGGAGCAACTTAGCAGCAGCAGTTGTATTAATTAAATTACAGTCATCTAATCCTAATTACATAGTATATAAAATAACAATTATCTTTTGAAATGAGCAAAGTCACATTTGTACATATGGAACTCAGTACAGTATATGTACTATTTATTATATATATATATATATATTTCTCAAAGTTTCAAGCCTTAATATGACAAATGAATTGTCATATTTAATTTGAATTATCAGTGCATCATTAAATCTAAACTAGCTTCTTTATTTTAATGACTATTTTATTAAATGTCTATTTTGTTTTCTACAATGTATGTTTTATCAGGAGAAATAATTCTACCTTTT